TATGCAATAAAAAAAAATGAAAATCAAATATTATGCTAGAGGAAATAGAGCAGATAAATTATTATTGGATAGACTTAAAAAACATGGTTTTAAATCCAAGATATCGAAATTGATAGAAACAATAAAACTTTATTATCTCCTGAAAGCATAGGAAATGCTTATAACAACTATGAAGATTTATACAACTTAAATAATTATTTTCAAGAATCAGACATAGATAAATATTTTTAAAACTTAGAATTTCCAAAACTTTCACAAACACAAACAAAATGCTAAATCTTCCTATTACTATGGAAGAAGTAGATCAAAATATACCTAAACAACAATCTCAAAAATCTCCAGGACCTGATGGATTAAGCACTTTTTAAAGTTAAATCTTACATCCCAACTAACATCCACATTTGATGGTATAGTACAGGGGTAGGCAACCTATGACACACGTGCCATGCACGGCACTCAAGGCTGCCAGAGTCAAATAGGCTCTGGCCTACCAGGAATCCCATTGAAACTTCAGATATCTGCAAATACGAAAGGATGTGAAGGGAAATCCTCAATGTATGCATTGCAGCACGTAGAGGAAGTGATCTCAGAGCACTTCCTCCCAACACTTGTGAATGGGAATCCACACTGGAGTAGAGCAGCCCACAGCTCCTGTCCTTGACCTGTACCTGGCCATCATGGTCCATCATGGTCCAGGGAAGCCACCCACATGGCTAGATATACACAGAAATGCACAGAAATGCACAAAAACCCTCCCCTCGTAAAAATAATATGAACAGCCCACACACAAACATATACACAATCCGCACAAACGCAACACAACTAACAATCCACATACATGCACACAACCCCACATGCAGGCCCTTACATACCATACCCCAAACAGCCCCACTCATACATACACCACCAAACACACTATTTGACATTTCCATCCACACACACAATTCCACAAGCAGCCCCCATACACAGCCAACATTCATAGGGATACGATACCACAAACTACTCATGAACACATACAATATAATAGCTCATATACGCACAAATACAACTATACAAAGCAACTGCAGTATAAATAACACAAGCAGAATATGGCAACATACACACCTCAATTAAAAAAAATAGGACCGGCACGCTACGGGCCATCACAATCTTATTTCGGCACAGTGCTGCTTAAAGGTTGCCTACACCTGATATAGTAGATCAAAAATATTTTTCTTTAGAATCAAAAGCTAATATAATCCCAATTCTTAAATTGAATAAAAACCCTTCACAAATTCCAAACAGCAGACCAAATTCTCTTCTGAATACGATATTAAAATATTTGCATCCATTTTTGCTGATAGGTTAAAACAAGTTATAAACAATTTAATACACCCAGACTAAATAGGTTTTGTGCCTAACAGATTCACAGGCAATAATGTAAGACAACTGGTAGATATATTGGATCTAGCAGAGATACAAGGGATTCCACATCTGACCCTGTCGATCGATAGCTGCAAAAAAAGCATTTGATGGGGTCAGCTGGGGATGGATAAGAAAACCTTTGCAAAGTTTTGGTATTCAGGATTGGATGTTGCAAGCAATTATGTCCATGTGTCGTACCTCATCAGCAAGAACAGTTGACCATGGCATCTTGTCTGATGGTTCCCTATAAAAAAACAGCACCAGGCAAGGATGTCCACTTTCCCCTCATATATTTTGTCAATAGAGAAGCAATGAGAATTAGAAGCAATCAAAATATTATAGGTGTTTCTATTAAACAAAAACAACTTAAAATTAGTGTAGACGCACACAATGTTCTTTTAGCAATAACAAACCCACAGAGTTCATTGCCAAATTTAATGGAAGAATTCCAACAATATAGTATAGTTTCCAATCACAAAATGAATATAGAAAAATCTATGATCCTTTCTACAAAAATAGACAGAGTAACAAAAATTACTCAAAAGCTTGTATCATTTCAGTTGGGTTAAACATAGCTTTGTGTATTTGGGAGTCAAAATCACTAAAAATGTAAATGGATTAATAGAAGTAAATTTCCTGGATACATTAACATTAACAATCCATTCTATTAAGAAAATTGTGATTTTTTGACACACATAGCAATTTAAGAATATATTTATGGAGCACTTCAGGGGTTACTGCCAAAGAACAACCCACAATGTGTTCAGCAACATCTCCTGAGTACAGTGATACCACCCATGTATAGGTATGTTGGGTTTTCTAAGGGCTAAAATACCTTATTTGGAGGGTGCGCATTCCAGTTTTCCAACTTGGAATTTTCACAGCTGGTCATCATGCACCCATGTCCTATTTGGGACATTTTTGAAGCCGGCCAATGTAATTTACCCCTATCAAACCATATATTTTTGAAAAGAAGACACCGTAGGGTATTTAAAATGTTGGTATTTTAACATTATCCATGCCCTAATTCTACCACCAGTCTTTTTCAAACTTTTGGGTAGTCATATTTTTGTGTTGTTTTTTTCTCACATTGTACTTTAGGCATGGACTCTCAGTTACTGTTATGTGTAACTGCCAAAGAACACCCCAATATGTATTCAGCAACATCTCCCGAGAACAACAGTGCCCCAATGTACAGGTTTTATGTTTTTTTGCAAACTTACATAGGTCAAATGTAGGGCTTTCCCCTTTTCCATGTTTGCACATTGAAATTTGACAGATTGGTTTGCTGGGCCTATGTTGCCTTTGAGACCGTATAGCAGCCCAGGAATGAAAATTAACTCCATCATGGCATACCATTTGTAAAAGTACACAACCTACGGTATTCAAAATGGGGTATGTCCAGTCTTTTGTAGAAGCCACCTAGCCACAAAGGCTTGCCAAAGTTAGCATTCATATTTGTTTTGTGCATTTGTTTTATACGAAAACTGCAATTTTACTAGTGATTTCATCGTCGTGATAAGTTTTACTGTTTTAAACTCTCATATTTGTGTTCAATGAAGTCTCCCGCGTATAACAATACCTCCCATGTACAGGTTTTATGGTGTTTTGGAAAGATACAGGGTCAATATAGGGCTTGCCCAATTCAGTTTGCCAGATTGGTTTGCTGGGTCAGTGTTGCCTTTTGAGACCATATGGTAGCCCAGGAATGGGAAATAACCCCATCATGGCACACCATTTCTAAATGTAGATAACCCAGGGTATTTCAAATGGGGTATTCCCAGTCTTTTGTAGTAGCCATTTAGTCACAAACGCTGGCCAAATTTAGCATTTTTATTAGTTTTTTTTATAAATGTATTTTTTCCCCGTTTATTTTATATTATATTATATATATATATATATATATATATATAGCAAGGCAGTATATAAGGAGCACTCACAAGTCTTCATCCAAAATCCAATTTATTCTTTGGTGCAAATTACATGTGCAAATTTAAGCAATCGACGTTTCGACCCCAACAGGGTCTTCTTCAAGATCAAAATTAAGGGTGAGTGCCAAGGTTTTTTGCTTTATATATATATATATATATATATATATGCACAGACACATAATATAGGTGTTTTTCAAAAAACAAATAAAAATTTTCAACAAAGTTGCTGTTTAGTGGATAGGTGAGTGCGCTGGATCTTGTGTATTGTATAATTTGGCCCCCAGCAGCATCCCCATTTATGCATGTTCAGGTGAGTGCAGCCAACCCCCCCCTTGTTCCATATATATGTATTTGGGAGTCTAGGCAATTTCTTGGTTTTGCACCTTTCCCTGTCACAGGTGCCTCATCCTAGGGCCCTATTTAGCCTTGTACTGCAGAGAGCCCCAGATGGAATTTTTTCCCCAAGCAAGTGGGTTAATCTCATAAGAGCAGACATTAGGCTGTTAGTGTAGGACCTGCCAAAGATGGGGTACATTGATGTTGTGACAGGCTTATGCAATGTATGATCATATAATGTAACTAAACCCCCATTATTTTTGCCTAGATTAGGTGTTTTTAAAAAACAAATAAAGTCTTTCAACATTGAAGTTGCTGTTTAGTGGATAGGTGAGTGCGATGGATCTTGTGTAATATATATATATATATATATATATATATATATATACACACACACTTATATTTCCTATATATGTATAATATAGTATCAGTAAAGCATTTTATAATATATTATATATATATGAGATTTCATTATAAGTGTATTTTAAGATATATGTATAGATCTCAAAGTACACTTATAAACAAATCATATATATGCATTATAGATGTATATAATATATTCATTTACATTTTTTACTTTTTAGCAGCCTAGGGGACCGTCTGATAGCTCAGACAGTCCCACTGTTGGCAGCACCTAGACTCCTATTGCGGCTATGTGATCATGATAATCACATAGCCCTGGAGGGCCGGTGTGGCCAGAGCTGCTGCAGGGGGACTGCTGGGGTCTGCGGTAGTCCCCCCCAACCGTGAACACCACATTCTAAGTGTATTTTGATATATATATATATATATATATATATATATATATATATATATATATATATATATATATATATATATATATATATACATATATATATATATATATATATATATATATATATCAAAATACAGTTAGAATAAAATTACATATATATAATTTTTTTTAAATTATTTTTACAGTTTATTTTTAATTATTATTTTTTATTATATATATATACATACACACAATATATATAGTTATTATATATACTTGTGTAATTTTACTCTAAGTGTATTTTTATATTAAAATATGTATTTTGTTAATATATACATATATTAATATAAAAATACATTTAGAGTAAAATTACACACGTGTGTGTGTGTGTGTGTGTGTGTGTGTGTGTGTGTGTATATATATATATATAACATACAGGGTTTCCTTGCACTCACGCTTGTAGACTGTTGTAGGCCGGGTGCTTGTAATCCAGGGAAAAATTGCATAAATTGAAGTAGTGATCAGCACTCTCGGGCTTTTGTGAGTTTAAAACTTACAGTTTATTGAAATTCCATTTAAAAGATCAACGTTTCAGTTCCTGTCTGGAACTTTCATCAGGATCAAACAACTGTTTGATCCTGATGAAAGTTCCAGACAGGAACTGAAACGTTGATCTTTTAAATGGAATTTCAATAAACTGTAAGTTTTAAACTCACAAAAGCCCGAGAGTGCTGATCACTACTTCACTTTATATATATATATATATATATATATATATATATATATATATTTTTTTTTTTATTATTATTATTTATTAACTATATTTTTATTTTATTTTTAACTTTTTTCAAACTTTTTTTTAAACATTTTCCACCAGTAGGGGGACTGTCTGTCAGTTCAGGCAGTCCCCCTGCTGGCAGCACTGTGGACACCTATTGCAGCCATGTAGCCCTGTGGGTCCTAAATTGAAGATGGGGACACACCCCAGACAGTCCCCACTAAGAAGAAGACTGATCGCCTCCATGGGGAGGGAGAGGGAGGGAAGGTAGGGGTTAATGTAAAAAAATATATATATTTATATTCTTTACATTTACTGAGTGCCTCAACACACTCAGTACAGGCAGAGCATCGGAAGCCTGCCTGATGGCTTACGATGCTCTGCCTCACTGCCAGGCTCCACGTGGAGCAACCCGGGAGTGATCGCTCTGGGTGGAGCAATCATCCCGTGTTCTCCGGGGGCCACCAGCAGTGAGGGGAGTATTGCAGCTGGACCTTATTTTGTCGGACGTACCTGATACGTCCAAGGTCGGGAAGTGGTTAAACTGCTTCAAGAAACTCCTCAATTTAAGCTTTCCTGTGGTCACCTCCAAAGCGGGTGGAACCAAAAGATAAGTGACCTTTTCAAATGTAAAACTGTGTTTTTGTTTGTGTGTGCGCTGCTCCTTTAACTGTATTTGGATATTTTTTGGTCTTTACAACAGCACCCCTGCTTAGAAATGCATGTTCTGGGTGTGCCCCCAATTCCTATTTTTTCTGGATTAATAAAAAGCCAAATGAATAGTTAAAACTCTCAGCTGTTACAGTTGTGGTTAATTATGTGCCAACTGACCATCCACTGCATTAAACAATTAATAAATAAATATATACAAATCCTGTGGGAGTCAATAAGACCCATATAGGGCTATAATGGATGTATTTTGCTTCCATATGCCTCCATCTGGATAGGGTGTTCAGAAGAGCAGTATGGAACAATTGAGGTAGGAAGATGGAGCTGTATATGGCTCCTACACCTGCAAAAATAAGCCATTGCCCACTTTCAATACCCACCGTCTGCACAGAGCACATGAAAAGTAGGAACACCTTCCAACAAAATCAGACTTGTAAGGTATAATTTCGCCACCATTTGGCATACACAGCTTTTTAAACCAAACCCAGAAATGCTACTTCCCTTACCAATCAAGGGGTAGCAAACAAAATAAAGATGATTGATTGGTTATGGGACAGCCAGCAAATGTTGATTTTAATCACAAATCAATTGACCAATACAGGGAACAAATGATGAAGAGTAGAGTAAAATCATTCTATCCGTTCAAGCAGGACTCTTCCAAACACTATGACTTCAGCTACTGAGGGAGACATAATCATCAGTGTGTTTTACCTCAGAGGAAAAGGCCCCCCACTATGCCATTTCACAGCACCCATTGGCTTACCCACAAACTACCTTCCCAATGGAGCTTCATCTCTCCTCATGAGAGCAGTCGTTTCAGAACGCACCCAACCAGAGGCCTAGAACCTATGAGTAGGCCACATCCAATTGTCAACTAGAGCCTGTAAAGACCGTCAAAGTACTCTCAATCTTACCAATCTGCTTGACAGGTTCCCACTTACAACAGCATGTAACAATGGTCCAACACAGCAGATGATGTGGTATAGAGGCTGCCATTTTATTGGAACCTGTGAAACAGGTCCCCCTTCCTATGCACCCCCAACCAGGTACTTACCTGCTCCCTAGCTATAACTATAATATCATTGTTCTTTTTATATACATATATATATATATATATATATATATATATATAAACATAAAGGGAAACAATGGAAGAAAAACTAAACAAAAAACATTGCATGGCGTGTTGACACCTTATGCCAGAGGATTTCATCAGACAGTGACAAGCCTACTGAGGAATGGGTAGAGAAGAGGATAGAAAGAAGAAGCAGAAGGCATGAGGAAAGAGGAGAGACAAAAACAAGCTGAGGAAGGCCTATAAAATATAAAAACACCAAATAAAAGAGCAAAAATAAAATACAAAATCAAAAACAGGAAACTCAACATAAAAAAGAAATGAAAAGAGACTGTGAACACTTAATTTATATTTTGGACTCATAGTTCTCAACTTGTTTCCAGATTACCTACTAATTTACCCTATCTATCCTACTGCATACCCTATACACTTAGCTACCACAAGCATAGTCATTACAGATCTTCTTCATGACATTGAAACACCCATCACACCTTTCACTGAATCCACATTAGATCATGCACCAACCCAGCTTACCATTAATATAGGTTCCCCTTCCTACCTTATGCCCCACTTGAAGTTTCTCAACTATTTGCTGTCCAATACCATTTTAATTTCTCATGTTGAACTAGCATGGTTAAACTATCTCAAATGTAATGTAATGTATGTAAATTATTCTAAACTGTTATGGGAGCCTTCTAAGGTATATGGCCATATCATGTCTTGTATGGATAAATACCACAAAGAAATAATTTGAAAATTACAGAAACTATCTAATGAGAAATGTATCTCTGGTCCTAGAGATGAGAACACATTGAATATTTTTCTGAAAAGAAAATTAAGACATAAGCTCCCCACAGACCCAATCAGCATTTAAAATATTGTACTCCTAAGTACTACCTTTGGGGTAACAAGGCACAATTTGTCCTTTATAAAGATGCTGAGATCAGTCAGGCTTTCTTTAACTATTTTCAGGAGCTCTAGATAGCCCCTCAAGATGCCCATCTTGGAGGTTCACAATTTCTTAAAAATGCAGATTTGCCTTATTTAACTACTGAACAAAGAAAGTTCCTCAGAAAGCCCTTTTTGTGAGCAGGAAATATCTACTTTCATTGACTCACTCACATGGGGGAAAGCAACGCATCCGGATGGTTTCCCACCAGAATATTGCAAATTACTAACCTAATATTTTATGTCCTTTAAAAGAATATATAAGGAAGTTTGTTGGAGGTATAAAATGACTTATATCTCCAACAAACTTCCTTAGATAGTTTGAATATTTCCAAAACACTTCTTTTGCTTAAGCCTAACAAATATGTCACAGATTTCTCTTCAGAATCAAGATCTTAAATTCCTCTACAAGCTTCAAGCTAATCATCTTCAGGCTTTTCATCCCTCTCTTTTGATTAGCCATAAGCTGGGCTCTTTCAGTGGATGAAAACCCATGGTGAAAGTGAGAGTGACCATCACCACAATTGTATCCTTCACCCATGGATGACTTGACAAGAAGTGTCCCTTTCTCCTGGGCCTTAACATTACAAAAAGGTCTTAGATAATATCACTTGGGCCCATGTAATTAGAACCCTCAAACATATGTATTTTGTCTTAATTTTAGTTTCCTCTATTAAACAATTGCAACATTCCTGTTTAACCATCACTATTGCTACCAAAGGGCTTGACTCCAAACTGGTGGCTGTTGGAAGAGGTGGGCACAACAGAGTTGCCAATTTTCAATTTAGTAATTGATCCTTTGTTACATATGAGTTACTCTCCTCCTTCTTGGAATACCAGTTGCAAAATTTAAAAATCCACTTTATTGAGAATAAAGAAATATACAAAAATTACACATGCCAGGGACATCCATCTAACACGTTTCACACCAATGTCCTATCAAGCAAAATAATACAAATACGGAAAATAAAAAAATGAGATATATATATATATATATTTAAAGAAAAGAATAATAATAAAAAAAAATATTCATCATGTACATAGTATATACAGGCATTTATATCTAAATATGTATTATTGTCAGCATTGCATTTAGTACAAAAGGTAAAGCCCAAGTATCAAATCAGATTTATCTACCAACAAAAATAGGTAACATCAAACTCAGATTTAAGTGCAAGGGGCTTCACGGTTCAATCAATTTCACCTCTTCTTAATCAAGTCTGTGAGGTCACAATCCCTTATCAACTGAGAAAGTTTTTGGATTCCACAAATGCATAAAAAGCTCAAATTAGAATTTGTTGCATTTGCCTGCCTGCCTGCCTGCCAGCCCACTAACTTCCATGTGCTGCACTTTTGGATGGACTTAATCATTTGGCTAATATTCTGCCTTTATATACGTTATTGTGTGAGCTACTTTCATGGTTCTTACTACTAATGTCTTATTTGTGTCTTGTACTTAAATGCAAACTGTGGAATATGTGATACTACTTCAACTCAATTCCTGTTATATCTTCCACTTATATTCCACTAATAAAAATGTTTTTTTTTTTTCAATAAAACATTTGATTTCTTCTTTTTTTCAATTCTTCTTTTCTTTAGGCTAACAAGGTAGCCCAACCCCTCCCCCCCAAAAAAAAAAAACACAGGACCTGACATAACTTTTCAAATACAAAAAGGACAAATCTAAAAAAAAAAAAATGAAAAAAAAATAATTTTGTTTTCGTTAACGAATGTCAGACGCATCAAACCGTATGGCTGAAACGTTTTTATTTTAGGACAAAGTTGTTTACTAGTGATGTCCTGAACGGTTCACCGAACGGTTTGCCACGAACAGTTCGCCGCGGACTCATCATTGAGTAAACTTTGACCAATTATGTAGAAAATAGCTGATGTGAACAATAGCGATGTCCTGAACGGTTCGCTGAACGGTTCACCGCAAACGGTTCGCCACGGACTCATGATTGAGTAAACTTTGACCCTGTACCTCACAGTCAGCAGACACATTCCAGCCAATCAACAGCAGACCCTCTCTCCCAGACCCTCCCACCTCCTGGACAGCATCCATTTTGAAGCTGCATTCTTAGTGAGCTGTCCAGGAGGTGGGAGGGTCTGGGAGGGAGGGTCTGCTGCTGATTGGCTGGAATGTGTCTGCTGACTGTGAGGTACAGGGTCAAAGTTTACTCAATCATGAGTCCGT